AAAATCAATAAAACTCAAGTTGTAAAAACTAGTAAATCTTAAACAAAAAAAAACTTCAATCATATGTAAAAACAATTAAAAACTTCAATCATATGTAAAAACAATTAGAGCATTTTTAATCTGAATATTTTCTTGGCATTGTATAGCCAAAAATTAGAACGATAAATTTAAAAGTCACATGTTTAATTTTCATGAAGCTTCGCATGTCTTTATTGGAGTTCCATCGAGGTTTCACGTTTCGCCAGGGCTTCAATGCTCCATCAGGGTTTCATTTTTCATCTTTTTTTTGGTTTAGGTTTCGTCATTTGCAATTTTTGGAAATAGGCTTCGCCTACTATCTATAATGGCGGCGTAGAATGTTATGCTTCATATATTACATAAAAGTTTTTTGAGAAAAGGAAATCCGTCTTTAAATGTATTATCGGTATTAAAACTTTCATTTAAAGAATTTTTTTTTATCGAAAAAAATTTTCTCTTTATTAGTAATAAATCTTTCATTAAAAGGATCATTTAGATGTGTAGATTCCTCGTCAGAACTAATATCATTCGAAGGGTATATCGTTTTATTGATGGGTAATTTATATTTTTAAAATCGGTTTTTTTTTGTCTGTTACTTTCGTTATTTAAAAACAATATTAGGCTTCAGGTTTTTAATTTATGACATTACAGATTCGACCTATCAAAATTATTCAGATATTGTAAGTTTAAAAGCCCGAAGTCTTGTTTTCTTTAACGTTACATTTGCATAAGTTTTATATACGTTTGTATACTATACTTTATAAGTAGCTGTGACTTCACCAACCATATACACGCATTTGCTAATTTAACGTATTATACAGTACACCACTACTTTACTAAACCATACTCCACTATTATTCGGATTACTCCGTACGCACGCACGACAGAAACTGATGCTTGTAGTAATGGTTTCTAAATCTAAATAGTATACAATTATGTACGCGTTATTGACTCCTCGAATTTAAATATATGTTATTATTTATCGATAAAATAAAGATCGGAATATTTTGTATATTTATTGTATCAAGTCTTTTGACATGATGAATCCCTCGCATAGTGAAAAATGTAACCATAACTAATAAACAATAACAAAAGTCACTTATACAATATTAAAAAGATTTAGAAATAATATTATTGTAACTAGAATTATTAAAACGACTATAAAAACAATAATTAGATATTAACAATTTTAGAATAATAAAGTATTCATTGACTAACATATTTAACTAACAGCAGTTTAAAAATGTATCAAACTAATCTTATAATTCTCAATAACTATGAATAATTATGATTTACATTTATTAAAGACTAACTTTTACAAGTACGTCTATTATGCCCTTCCCTACCACAATTCCCGCAAGTCACCGTTCTTCTGGGCACATAAGTACAGGTACGTATATTATGACCTTCCTTACCACATCTTCCACAAGTAATTGTTCTGATGGTGCCATGGTAGTTATTATTATAATAATTATAAGATATAATATTCGTAATGGACTGGGAGGCTAAATCAAAATGAGAAAGAAATTTTAGGTTAGTTCCACAAAAAATAAGAGTTTGATTAGGACTATAAATTAAACAGTTGGAAAAATGTGATCATTTTTTTTTAGTTTCAGCAAAACCAATTAATTATTTTAAAAGAGCGATGTGGCGAAATTCAATACAAGTACCAATATTGCTTGATACAGAAATGAGCTAACCAAGATCAACTGATCGAGCATATATCTTGGGCCTTATTTGTAATTATTTTCATTCTCGGTATCATTCGTATATTTCTCTTAAATTTTACATATAATACTTACATACTAATTATTAGAAAAATACGTTATAATCTATTTTAAAAAAAAAACAAATATAAATTTTCATAAAACAATATACTTACTATCTAGCATCAAACAACATTGTAAATTTATGTATGTAACTAGTTATCGTTATATAAAGTCGATTTAAAGAATGCATTATCAAAAAGTTTTTACTCACGATCTAAAAATTGATAAAAAATTTTTTTAATAAATTTACGTTCGACAATTTACAAGGTCGCTCTTCAAATATTTGTGTAATTTATACACGAACATTGAAGGCCTATATAACCATTTGTTGTATCTACAGCAAAAGCTTGAGATAACAAATTCCTTCATAGCGGATATTCTGATATATTAAAAAAAAAACTTTTATATTACAAGTTATATGCTTGAATATCAGCCTGTGGACTTTTTTATATCGAGCTTTTATTGTACATCATAAAATTTTTTTTTGTATTACTTCATACTTACATTCTTTAGAATTGATTGAAATATGTACAAAATATGCATTAATAAATAAATTTTGGTAGATTATAATAATAGAATGATTTATGCTAACTTACCTTTCAATTATTATTAAGATATATAAAAATATACAATTAATAGAACAATTCATTATAGTGCATTATTAAAAATAATAAACTTGCACCTACCATTATTTGTTAAATATGTAGAAGAAGTAGCTGATGCTGTGGTAGAAGTAGTCGATGTCCTAGTATAAGTAGCTGAGGGTGTAGTAGAGTTGGCTGGTGTTACAGTAAAGTTAGTTGGCGCCATAACAGAGATAGCTGAGGTTGATGTCGTAGTAGAAGTAGCTGGCGTCACGTTAAATGTAGTTGGAGTCGTGTTAGATGTTGATGTCGTAGTAGAAGTAGCTGGCGTCACGTTAAATGTAGTTGGAGTCGTGTTAGATGTTGATGTCGTAGTAGAAGTAGCTGGCGTCACGTTAAATGTAGTCGGAGTCGTGTTAGATGTTACAGTTTTTGTATTAGAGATAACTAAAGTTTCGTTATTCCCATCTCCATTAGTAGTTGTAATATTTGTTGGTGACGATACGGTAGCTCGAGAAGGTGAAGCAACAGCCTTATTTGAAGCTGCAACTTTTGTCATTTGTTTCCATAATTCAGGATTAAGAATTCGATGATATGGTTGTACTTTTTTGAGAATATCTTCACTAACAATTTGAGAATATTTGATATGAGGTAGACAGTTTCGGAGTGTAGTTTTCAAAGTTAAAAAATTTGCATCAGACCATCCTTCAGGATTAGAATTTAAGCCTGGGTTTTGGGAAATTCCCCATTTAATAACCTTCTCCCAAATTTTGCCTTCATCCGTATGTACGGCCTCAAGTTTCAAGAAAGAGACCAATGTTTTTTCTGAAATATTTATAAAGTCTCCTGAATCTCAAAGAACACTTGGGTGTTTAGAGATAATATCATTACAAAATTGTTGTAAAACTTTAAAATCATCGTTTTCGTAACTCGTTTTATAAACTTTAATAAAATTCAAACGTATCCACGATGCATGATTCTTAATCAATTGTGTTTGTGTAGTATTAACTAATTCTTCAAGGCCAAATTTCTTTGCAGTAGCTAAAAGATTAAGAAGAATTGTAGGCGCATCGACTTTATCGAACAGAACTATACCGCCGTGAATATACCTATACAATTAAAAAAAAAAAGCTCAAAATTATACTTGATACAAATTAAAATCTAATTAATTAATAAAAATATAACCTACTTGATAATTATCTTAAAAACATTAAAAGAAATATGTGGTTCACTGATTTTTTTAACATTCGTTTCATCAAAATTTGCCTTGCTTAATTTGTTATGAAAATAAGAACATCGAGAGTTCAAGATAATTGAATGGGCTTTAAATATTTGACGGTTCGATGTTTCACCAACTTCAATTAATACATTATAATCTTCTCCATTTTCGAGAAGATTTGTTAAATCTTTGGAAAGTTTATTAAAGAATACTTCCATTTTTTCAAAGTATAAAAATACGTATTATTTATAATTGAAAATCAAAAATACGTGCAGTTGAAAAAAAACTACAATCCTTACAAATAATACCGATGCACAAAAATTAAAACTTATTTTTTTATTCTTTGATGTTTTGTTTCCAAATAAAGAAATTGTTTAATACGCATTTTCCCACACTGTACTGAAAATCGTACCGGCATTACTACGTTTCTTTCATATTATTTGGGTCGGCTGATGCCTTGTGTATCCAGAATAACGGATACGATAAGCATATTCGGTTGGATGATCACAGCTAGTCTCACTGATTTTTGTATACGTAATAGCGATAGATTTTCTTAACCAAGTTACGTTTCACATACCATAGCGATAGTGAAATTTTCAATTAAAAAAAATATATTTCAAATTGGTATATATATAAAATTTAGAATAAATGTATACATCGCACTATGCGATGCACTTGTATATCGCACCTCAATATCGGTCACTAATTTCTATCGCTTAATAGATTTTACTTATTGAGAAGATTAATATAATCAAATACTTTCAATGTTGAATTTTGAGTTCGGCTTTACTACAAGTCTTCCGATATTTATAATTTTCTTTGCATGTGTCATATAATAATAACTATCTTTGTCTTTACTAGTTTACTAGCTATGGGTAATTACGTATAATGATTAACCTAATTTTGGGATTTCAACGATTCTACCAAAGCTAATTGTTTTGAGAATTCTTGGAATTTGTACTAATGTCGGGAACCGCACTACTTTCGGGGTGGCAATTTACACTTCACAACGTACTTGATTTGGTCTAATTACTAATTATATAATTTATACATAATAAATAGGTTTCTTTAAATTATTTATTTAATATAGCTAAAATACTCTGGACTATTACAAATCTTATTTTTGTAAACCAAAATATTAACAAAAGAATTACAATTTATTAATTAACTGTATTGCTTTAATATAATTAGAACATATTCTAATTATAATAAATATCAAATAAATTGTAACAAGTGTCTGAAAATTTTTATAATACTTATAATATAGCAAAATTGACAAGTTAATTAATTTAAAAAAGAAGTTTAATACTTTTTATACTTTAATTTAACGTTTTTAATAATAATAAATATAATTGTTAAGATAGTAATTTATTAAATTATAATATCAAAATATTTATTGCTAAATCTATACAAAAAAGCTTTTTAAAAAGATAGTAATGCATTTAATTTTTATATTTTTAAAAATTATTAATTAAAAACAAAGATATAAAAAAATTTTATTGTACAAGTTTTAAAATATATATAAGATTTTTAATAGCAAAATCCAAAATAAAAGATTTATATTATAATTTTATAATTTTAAATTATATTAAAAAATTAAATACTATTACTATTAATCTCTAATTTTTTTGCTACAAGTTATTTTATTATAAATTACAAGATTGTTATTTTGAATTTTAGTACAAATAAAATTAATAGTCAGAATACTAATATAAATAAAGTCATATAAATAAAAAAAAGCTAAATATTTTATAATAATTGTAGTGCTATTAACTAAACCTACAAAATACTAATACTAATAATACCAACTTAAAAATTAAACAAATTGTTAATAAGCTCTTATTTTATATACCCGTGCATAAACACTACATGTAAACTAATAAATTTTCTAAGTAATATATAGCAATTTATAAAATTTAATTCCTGTACTGTGTTAATTTAAATTCCAAGTATAAGACCTATAAATATCCCAATTGATAATAGGGATTGGAACCACTGTAACGAATTAAAATTTTAATTTCTTTATTTTTGTTATATATTTTAGCCGGTAACTTTGCCCATGTACATAGTTTATTTGTGTTACCCCATCCATTTTGGTAACATTGTCCAATTTTAGTAGATTAATTTCTTTTGATTATTTTATAACTTATTATTATACTAAAATGGTAGTGATGGATTGGCTTGGTGGCTTAATCATATGAATGTTCTCAAGGCACGTAAACGTGCCAGTGGGCACGTATACGTGGCCGTTTGAACCTGTTATAATGATACCCTTGCACGATCATGAGAAAATGACCTAGGGGTTGGCACGTAAACGTGCCAGTGGCCACGCCAACGTGCCAGTGGGCACGTAAACGCGGCAGTTGGCACGACAACGTGTCCAAGTTTAAATATGTATTTAAGGACCTAGGGTTTCGAACGAGGAAGATTAGACTTTTACCGTTCTATTATATGATTAATAAAGAATACCATTCCATCCTTAAATCATTGTTTCGTTTTCGCTTGAATAAAGTATACACTTATCTGAATATTCCCTGTGTATTGTCTTTGAATTCGACTTGTAACTTTAATAAACCCTTTCGAGACTCAATTCGACGGACTGAATTGACTTGTAACTTCGATTCGGCTTATTAAGACTCGGATTCTGAAACGTTGTGGAATCAGATATTACCATTCACCCTAGTGACTTGCGAGAACTGCAGTAGAGAACGAGACTTCCGATTGGTTATTCGACCTTGCTAATCATTCACGTGGACTTAAGTTAGCACTGATATCACTTGATCATCGTCCGCTTTTACCTCACCATCCTTATTGAGATATCCCTAACAGCATCACCTGTAGTTGCATCACCCCTATTACTACCTTCGTTTCATAGTATCATATTGTCTAATAGACCTCCGACAGTTATAAACGACTCCCTTCATTTCTTCAAGTTTATCTTTATCTCCCCGTACACCGTTGGAGTTAAATTGGCCTTCAATCCACATAATCTTATTAAGCTCTCCCAACAACGGTTACACCACCTAAAATTATTCTTAATCGTTTAATCGTTAACCGTTTAATTTGGCCAGCATTAAAATAATTCCAGCTCACGACCAATATAATTTCATCTGGAACTATAGAGTTTCAATCCCTAATCAATACCCTGTAAGAAAAAGTGGCACGTAGTACAGTCCAAAATGGCACGGGCAAAACAACCATTACGTACCTCCGCAAAAAATTTAACGTGCAAATCATGGTCCACAACCTGTGGATTTTGGTTTAGTAAACTGCTGCAAAATCTGGTCCATTTACTGGTGCCAAAAATGGCACGGTGAAAAGAAATCATCCATACCTCACGTGTAAATCACGGTGCACTATCCCGTGCCTTTCCGTTATTTTAGTGAACGTGCCAAAATTAAAATACGTGTATTTTGGCTTAGTAAACTGCTGCAAAATCCGGTCCATTTGCGGTGTTATGACCGGTAGGAGAGCTTCGAAGATATTGGGTCGGTTTAGCTCTGATCATGAACAAGGGGTTAGGTCGATTGTATATTTAAATCACGTGAATCAGAATTACGAAGTGATCTTTTATTATGATTTAACGGTCCTTCAGGTATAGGTTCAATTTAAGAATAAACGGATTTACGATTAGGGTTTTGAAGTTTCTCTTTATTATTTGT